TAATTGATGATTTTACATAATTAACAAATAACAATTGAACTCTTTTTATCTAAGCAAAAATATTCAACAAGAATTATACATAGAAAAAAAAAGTGGTATTATAAAAATAACTTTTTTATATCACTTTTTAATACAATTTTCACATGTTATTAAATGAGTGAATGCATTTAATACCACGAATTTTGTATGAATTAAAGTAACTAATTATTTAAATGATATATCAAGTTGTACCAATTATTTAAATTTTATTAATAATTATTATATTTTTATTTTATTAAAAGAATAAAATTTATTTTAAAAAAAAGTAATAAACAACGAGAGTATCATTCAGGGGTACTGCATGATTATATCCAAAGCAGCTAATCCAAACTACCTTCCAACTGATTAACATCTTATCGTTATCCATCCCATTATCCCTCCCAACAGCACAACCACACGGTTTTGAATTGGATCTCGTACCGGAACACCCCCGTTGGCAACACCCAAAAGCGAGGCTAGCGGTTAGGGCGATGATTAATTTTTAGGTAAAATAACAGGATGAATTCATCTCCAAACCAAAAAGTAAAGGTAAATTCACTTGTAAAATTTTTTATTTGAATAAATAACTTCAAATTTAATATGTGATGTCATTTAATATCAGAAAATCATTAATTTATTATATCGTTAATATGTTTATTGTTAATAATTATTGAATCACATGTTAAATTTAAGATAACTTATCTAAATCAAAAATTTTATAGGTAGATTTATCTCTGTCTTTTATTTAAAGATAAATCTATCCTTACCATTATATTTTGAAAGTGAAATTGAGTTTTTTACATATTTTTTAAAATTATTAAAGTTGTTAAATTTTTATTTTAATTTAATTATTAAAAATAATAAATAATTAATAAATAATTAATATTTATTTTATATTTAATAAATTAAAATTAATTTATAAATAAATATTTTTTAATATTATAATGAATTAGGTAATAAAAAATTATAAATTAATAAAATTATAAGTAAAATTAATAATTTTAAATATATATATATATATATATATAAAGACTTAACAAAAGTGCTGACCACGATGACCTCAGCCCAAAAACGACTTTGGAGCCTACTTTCAATGGAGGAATGCTAGCTACACTCGTCTTTCTCCAGCACTCTCCAACACTCTCTCATGTAAAATGTCCACGTAACAAAATTTGGCTCGCAATTCAAAGTTTCCAACTAGAAAAGTTCACGT